GTACGACAGAAAATCTTCATCACCTCATCATGACGAGAGCAGATGTTCTCCTGGAGCTTCTTGGAGGGGGCCACCAGCTTGTGTTTCTTTAATGGAGCTGCATCATAGTGAGGTTGGAGGTGTTTCTCACAGTACGAGATAACACAGACTAAACAGGACTTGATGGCTCTCAGCTTCCTCCCAGTGCAGACATCACAGGCCACATCTTCAGGTCCAGCATAGCAGAGATTAGCTGGAGCAGCTTGGAGTCCAGTCTTCTTCAGCTCCTCCACCAACTCTGCTAACATGGTGCTTTTCTCCAGGACAGGCCTCGGTGTGAAAGTCTTCCTGCACTGAGGGCAGCTGTGGATTCCCTTCCTGTCCTCTTCATCAAAGTGGGCTTTAATACAGTTCATGCAGTAGCTGTGTCCACAGGGAATAGTCACCGGATTTATCAGTAGATCCAAACAGATGGAACAAGAGAAGGTTTCTTCATCCAGCTGAAGTCCTTTCTGCGCCATTTCTCCTCTCAGTGTCAGTGACTGTGTGAGTTTCTCTTCCTTATAACTGAAACTAGTCTGAGCTCTGATCTCAACAACATGTTTCTGCAGTGAATGGAGCCTGTCAGCTCTTACACGTCACCACATGTTGGTTACACCCATCTTCAAACTGCAGATCTGAAGGGGAGGGAACGAGGAAACACGTGGACAGAGAGGAGGTGCTGTGTTTAGAGCAGGAAGAAGAGGAGTTATCAGGCTGTGCTTCACTCCAGGAAGAGGAGCAGTTTGAGAGCGATACTGATACTGATAGTTTAACCCCTTTATTTACTGCTCACATCAACGTTTAAGCTTGTTAACACTTTCTTCTATAAAATAAACTTCAGTTTAGAAATGTCAGAGTTCTCACTGAAGTTAACAAACAGTCCTTCAGTTTCAGTCAATGCAGGAGGATAATGATCCTAAACATACAGATAAGGCAGCCACTGACATGATGCTTATGTTGCATTTAAGTTTATGTTAATTTCAGTTGTTTCTCTCCCTCAAACACCATCAGAGGTGAGAGGGTGCAGCAGGTGTAGTAGTTGGTATATGAGGCAGTAAACAAATTAAAGTGTTTTCAAACACATTCATCTCCACAAAAATGTGATAAATGTTTGACAGGAATAATAAAAAGAAACCCTGACTCCTTTAAAAATATTTTTCTGTTGTTACAGTTGAGTTGATCACAACTTCTACAATCATTTTTAACAGGAACGTGGCTAAATACAGGTATGTGAGAACCAGTCAAAAGTGGCAAAAGTCTAGACATTCTGTACTTAAGCAGAAGTACAGACACTAGTGTTAAAAAACACTTTACTACAGTAAAAGTTGAAGTACTGGTTCAACTTTTTTACTCAAGTAAAAGTAATTAAGTATAGGCTTTGAAATGTACTCAAAGTAAAAAAAAAGTAAAAAGCAGTTCTTTGCAGGACATTTCTCCCACCTATTTTTTTTTTATAAAGCTAACTGAACCTTGTGCTATAGTAATGTAATAATTCTAATCGTATTCAACTTGAGTCAAAAGAAAAAGAAGGATTTTTTTTTTAAATTGCAATTTTTTTAATGCCATTATTGTACAAAGTGCCTTTGCCTCTTAACAGGAAAATGAGCACAGTCAGAGGTTAAAGTGAGATTCAGCAGGTGGAGAAACCAAAAAGTCAGTTTTAATCGCTCAGTGGTGGGGAAAAAAATCACAAGTTTGCCCGGCCCATCGGAGCCATCCGTGGGGAGGAAGCAACGATCGCGCCGCCGGCCCGGCACCCCATAGCCAGATGTTTGGACTAGTTTACAACTGTTGAGAATACAGGGAGTGCAGAAATATTAGGCAAATGAGTATTTTGTCCACATCATCCTCTACATGCATGTTGTCTTACTCCAAGCTGTATAGGCTCGAAAGCCTACTACCAATTAAGCATATTAGGTGATGTGCATCTCTGTAATGAGAAGGGGTGTGATCTAATGACATCAACACCCTATATCAGGTGTGCATAATTATTAGGCAACGTCCTTTCCTTTGGCAAAATGGGTCAAAAGAAGGACTTGACAGGCTCAGAAAAGTCAAAAATAGTGAGATATCTTGCAGAGGGATGCAGCAGTCTCAAAATTGCAAAGCTTCTGAAGCGTGATCATCGAACAATCAAGCGTTTCATTCAAATAGTCAACAGGGTCGCAAGAAGCGTGTGGAAAAACCAAGGCGCAAAATAACTGCCCATGAACTGAGAAAAGTCAAGCGTGCAGCTGCCAAGATGCCACTTGCCACCAGTTTGGCCATATTGCAGAGCTGCAACATCACTGGAGTGCCCAAAAGCACAAGGTGTGCAATACTCAGAGACATGGCCAAGGTAAGAAAGGCTGAAAGACGACCACCACTGAACAAGACACACAAGCTGAAACGTCAAGACTGGGCCAAGAAATATCTCAAGACTGGTTTTTCTAAGGTTTTATGGACTGATGAAATGAGAGTGAGTCTTGATGGGCCAGATGGATGGGCCCATGGCTGGATTGGTAAAGGGCAGAGAGCTCCAGTCCGACTCAGACGCCAGCAAGGTGGAGGTGGAGTACTGGTTTGGGCTGGTATCATCAAAGATGAGCTTGTGGGGCCTTTTCGGGTTGAGGATGGAGTCAAGCTCAACTCCCAGTCCTACTGCCAGTTTCTGGAAGACACCTTCTTCAAGCAGTGGTACAGGAAGAAGTCTGCATCCTTCAAGAAAACATGATTTTCATGCAGGACAATGCTCCATCACACGCGTCCAAGTACTCCACAGCGAGGCTGGCAAGAAAGGGTATAAAAGAAGAAAAACTAATGACATGGCCACCTTGTTCACCTGATCTGAACCCCATTGAGAACCTGTGGTCCATCATCAAATGTGAGATTTACAAGGAGGGAAAACAGTACACCTCTCTGAACAGTGTCTGGGAGGCTGTGGTTGCTGCTGCACGCAATGTTGATGGTGAACAGATCAAAACACTGACAGAATCCATGGATGGCAGGCTTTTGAGTGTCCTTGCAAAGAAAGGTGGCTATATTGGTCGCTGATTTGTTTTTGTTTTGTTTTTGAATGTCAGAAATGTATATTTGTGAGTGTGGAGATGTTATATTGGTGTCACTGGTAAAAATAAATAATTGAAATGGGTATATATTTGTTTTTTGTTAAGTTGCCTAATATTTATGCACAGTAATAGTCACCTGCACACACAGATACCCCCCTAAAATGGCTAAAACTAAAAACTACTTCCACAAACATTCAGCTTTGATATTAATGAGTTTTTTGGGTTCATTGAGAACATGTTGTTGTTCAATAATAAAATTATTCCTCAAAAATACGACTTGCCTAATAATTCTGCACTCCCTGTAGATTCCTTAATATAGATCAGAGTTAAAGAGAATATATTTGGGGATTGGTTGTAATATTACAATATGGCGGTTAATGGGAATACAAAATAGAAAAATGGGCCTGGGATGGGAACAAAGAACTGAGGTGCAGGACAGGAGGACAATCAACACCCACCCCCAGGGAGAAAGCAAGAGTTACTGAGGGTGAGGGGCAGACAAAGGGCAAAAGAGACACTACCTTAAAAGGAGATGGGGGTCAGGGTGTCAGCACCCTTGGCCACTGTACTAGTGTACTTTTGTGCAATACGTTTTCTTTTTATTGTCAATGGTGCAATAGACCTCAATACTTGAAATGTGCAATTTACTTGTATTTTTATTCCTATTTATTCTATTTATCCCCTTCGTATATTTTATTTATATATATATATATATATATATATATATATATATATATATATATATATATATATGTGTGTGTGTGTATGTATAATATTCTGTAACTCTGTAACTTCTGTCGGTGCTGTGCTTTTGGAGACAGAATTTCCCAGAGGAACCCACCCGAGGGATTAATAAAGTTTTATCTTATCTTATCTATTTCCATTGTGGGGGTGTTTACTGTAGGGGGGAAGAGACCAGAAGTTTTAACTGTAACTGTTTTGTGGAGTTCTTTAGATCAGCCTTTAGCATAGGATGCAGTGTGCTGATCTCCAGATGCATCTGTAAGAATAATGGGTAATAAAAGGATTGTGTGAAACATGGAAACATCTCAGCGTGATCTCTACCAGGACCAAAAGAATCGCAGAGACCGGCGTTGTCGCAACACAACAGCTTAGTAGCTTGAATAGTGCCTTTGCAAAAACAGCAATTGCATACACTCAAGTGAACAAATACACCCAAGAGCATTTAACCTACATAACATAATGCGATCAGAACTCACCTTCTGGCAATCACACACAGCAACAAACCAAGGGAATAAATATTGCCGGTGTTACAGATTAACTGGTGATGGTCAAACAGATCAGAATCAGAATCGTGTTTATTGGCCAAGTATATGTGCAGACACATACAAGGAATTTGGTTCCGGTAGATGGTGGCTCTCAAGCACAGCAATGTAAATCACACACACACACACACACACACAAAAGATGGCTCCGGACTTTTACATAAATATAATATATTCAGTCCTGTAGAAAGTTACATATTTAAAAACATATGATCCTCTCTGGTTACTTTGGTATGAATAACTCTGAATCACTTTATGGTAAATAACACACTATCTGCAAAAAACTGTGAAAGAATTCCACATGACAAGTTTGTAGTTCAACATACAAGTGACGACCTTTGACCTTCATCAGGTTTTATTTAATTGTGTTAGAGAAAATCTCATATGCTCTTCATGCAGCTGAGTACATCAAGTGTTTAAAACGGAAGCTGTGCAGGTCTGAGATCAGCAGCTTTGTGAAACACCAAACTGAGGTCCTGTTAATGCTGATATATAGTGACACAGTTACATGAGTGATTAATCCTTTTGTTTTTAACTTTATCAATAAAACAGCTGCAGCTTTCACTGACAGCACATGTGGTACTTTAACCTTTGTACTGTTTTCATCAGTTCATTTTGCAGTTAACATGTTGGATGATCTGTCTGCTGTCACTGGGTGGTGCTGAGGTCTGAATCTGAGGGCAGCTCCTGTAATCACAAAGAGAACAGAACCATCGAACTCAAATATAAATTTTATCCCTCAAAATTGAAATAAAGCTGATTCTTCTGTCCTCACACACTCAGGATCTGAAGTTCTTCTCTTGCATTTTTTTCAGTATTGCAGTACACTACAGTACTTTAATCCATAGTTCCTGATTAATGAGGAGTTACTGAAGTTCAAGCTTTAAAAAAAAAATGTTACTGTCTTTACAGATGTGGCAAGAGACTGAAAACATGCTGTTGTTTGCACATATTTAATATTCAGCTGCAGCAGGGTGCAGCCTGCTGTTTTTAAAGTATAACACTTGTAATAAAAGTACAGTGACGTTAATTAATGACTGAGCAGCCTGGGGCGTTTCTCTTGATTTCTTTAGTCAGGGTAAATTCATTCACCTGCACAGATTAGCTAAACGAACCCTGACAGCCGAGTCCTCATCTTAGCTAGCTAGGTCTTAGGACCGAGCTAAGGACGGTAGTTACGGATTAGCTTACAAACACGTTTAACTTACCGAAAAAGTGCAGCAGGGCCTCGGGTCCTTCTGTCGGGGAGTCCAGTTTACTGAAGAACACCTCAGGCTGTCAGGTTAAAACACTCGGTCGTGTCTTCGTAGCGTAAACGCTGGCCCTCCTCTCAGAGCCTACGCTCTATCTGCTATTCCCGAACAGAGATACGCAAGTTTCTCCGTGACTGCAGCTGCCAGTCAAAGCTGCTATGATGACGTCTCACTCCAATTTAACATCACCGCGGTAGGAATTAGAATCAAACCTATGGGAGAGGAGACCCCTTGAACATAAATCAGCGTGATGAGAACCATTGATAACAAAAGAGAATACATTTATTTTAGTCTGACCCCAGTCTTATCCGCTAACATGGAGGAGGCGGGGTTTATGACGGCGATAGAGACGTTTTGGCTTCATTTTCGGGGAGCTGTCGCGTTGTCCATGTTTTCTACAGTCAATGCTCAGCACCCCCCCCCCCGCACCCTCACCCACCTTCTCATGCTCAGCACTCACTCACCTCCTCCCTCCTGGCACACAGCTTCTTCTTCTTCTTCTTCTTCTTCTTCCTGGTGGGAAACCAATGTTAAGGCACATTACCGCCCCCTGGCTCAGTAGACATTTAGATGAGAAAATACATATTCGACACATTTGAGGAAAGTACTAATAAAACCACAAACCAGGCGAGAAATTTGGGTGTAGTGATGGATGCAGACCTAAACTTAGAAAAACACATTAAGACAATAACAAAGTCAGCTTACTATCACCTCAAGAATATTTCAAGGATAAAAGATCTGATGTCTCAACAGGACCTGGAAAAACTAGTCCATGCATTCATCTTTAGTAGGCTTGATTACTGTAACAGCATCTTTACAGGTCTACCTAAAAAATCAGTCAGACAACTACAGCTCATTCAGAACTCTGCTGCTCGAGTCCTCACTAAGACCAAAAAAGTGGACCACAGCAGTCCAGCTCTGAGGTCTTTACACTGGCTGCCTGTCCGTCAGAGGATAGACTTTAAAGTTCTGATGCTGGCCTATAAAGCTCTGAATGGTTTAGGACCAAAATACATCAATAACCTCCTGACCCAGTATGAACCTTCCAGATCCCTCAGGTCATCTGGATCCGGTCTTTTATCAGTTCCCAGAGTCAGAACCAGACACGGAGAAGCTGCATTCAGCTTTTATGCTCCTTATATCTGGAACAAACTCCCAGAAAGCCTCAGATCAGCTGAAACACTCAGTTTATTTAAATCCAGGTTGAAGACTCACCTGTTCTCAGCAGCATTTGAATAAAGCACCAAATCCACACTTTTAAGCTTAAATTTCAAAACTAACATTTTAACTACTGATTTTATCTGTTTTGATTTTATATACTGTTTTGTTTGTTTGTTTGTTTGTTTGTTAATTAGTTTGTTTGTTTGTTTGCTTGTTCTAATCAGTTTTAAATCATGCTTTTTATTTGTTTTTGTTTCTAATGTCTCTGTAAAGCACTTTGAATCAAATTGTTGTTGAATTGTGCTATACAAATAAACTTGCCTAACTTGCCTTGCCTAAAATAAAATGAAAATAAATCAAATAAATGTTCCCTTTAGAAGTCTTAATCTTTTTGCTCTATAAAAATAGTTGGGTTTTTTTAAATCACTCATCTTAGCAGTAGGATATACATGAAAAGAGAAACAAATTAAGTTTGAGTGAAAATGTACATTTTTTGCACTCTCTGGACAACTGGTTCTGTGACTGAAATGACTCAAACCCGATTCACTTTGGTGAGTGACTCATTCAAACTCGATTCAGTAAAAAGAATCGAATTTACCATCACTAACAGACTGAACCATGCTGAGGTTTATGGTTAAACAAGTTCTCATCCTTTGTAAACCACTAATAATTAGACCAGACAGTAAATAGAGATGTCCTCCTCCTGTTTCTGTACTGTTTTTGCATGCTTATATCATAAAACTTTAGCCTGTCACCTTTGTAAAGCCCAACATTTCTGCTGGATCATATATCCTGTTTCCTGTTTTGATGCTAACCCATGTTGCTCTCCGAAGCATTCAGAGTGTGAATGCGTATGAATGTTAGACAGTAAGCACTAAACAGTTTTTAAAAAGTGCTTGTGTGAATGGGGTGTGATTGTCACGGTTCTGGGTCAGTTTGACCCAGTAATTTGAGTTCTCTTGTTTTGGTTTGATTTTGTATTTTGTATTGTATTCTGATTCTTGTGCTTTGTTGATCAACAATAGAACTCTAGATCTCTATACAGTCCATTCTCTTTTGAGTCGTTCCAACACAGTGTGTTTGTTTTGATTCGTAGACCCCGAAAATGGTGCCACGCTCCCACAATGCATTGCGACATGACGCCAACTTCAAAGCTCTATACTGGTGACTTGATTGGAATCAGGTGTGAAAGCTGATTGGAGTCTCTGCCTGAAGGTGGAGCCCAGCAGAGTGGAAAAACCCCGCACTCACCCGGACCATGACACATGCCTCATTCACACAAGCTTTTTCCCTCTGCTTTATTGATTTCTATCAAACATTCATAACTAGTATCAAGAATCTTTTGTATGCAGACTGGAGAAGCGAAGGATCAAACTACCAACATTCTGATTAGCAGATGTAAATTAGAAGGTTAGTGCACCCGAGTGGTAGAAGAAATCCTAACTCAATGTTCTTTACAAGAGTGAAGGAAAACGAAAGTGTAGATACAAATCATCTACTGTTATGAAAACTGTCAAGAAGATCAGTGAAGGGATTTCAGAACCACTAACATACATTTCGGGATTATTCAGAACGGTACTTCCAAACTAAATGAAAATAGTTAAAGTTCTGCTGCTGCATAAAACTGAGGATAGCCACCACTTCACAAATTATAGGCCTGTTTCTCAATTTCCAGAGTTCTCCAGAAATCTCAAAAATTTGTTCAATAATTGATGACACAGACATAAATTACTCTCTTAGAGTCAGTAGTTTCAGATCAAACAGTTCGGCATGATTGGCATTAATTACATCGATCGAAGGATTTAGAAACGCAATAGATCAGAAAAAGGATGCAGTTAGAATATTCTTAGATTTTAAAAACCTGTACAGATATCCTGTAAACTACAATGTCATTTATGCCCATGATGATGGGTGGATGTAAGCTTTTTATCACACCTGTACATTTAGACCAGGGGTCTCAAATTCGCTGCCCGGGGGCCACTCGTGGCCCATGTCACCCCTACTTGCGGCCTGTATATTGATGTGAGGAAATATATTGCAATTTGGCCCTTAAAGTTACTTTTTTTGTTAGGGAGTATTTGTTTGTTGTTGAGTACAATGTCAAAATAAGTTTTTATAGATCTTATAGATCCAAAAATTATTTAATATTAAGGCAATATGAGCAGAGAGAGGGATTTGGCTGTGTTATTTCAGTGAGACAGTTATTTGTACTCGCAGTCAAAAACTAATGTGTGCACTTATGTCTGCATTTTTATTTTGTTAAAAATGAACAAAATTATAGCACAAGTGCTGCCATGTGTCTGTCCAGAAAGAGAGTACCAATGTGTTTATTTGGTAGTCCAATGAAAAGTTTCAGTTAAGAGTGAGAGAAAAATAGCATTCACTTTTGCAGTTTTGTCTTGTTATACAACATTTAACAAACAAAACGCTACATTTTTGGAAATATTTGTGGGTGTTTTCTTGCTGTTTGTTTGTTTGTTTTTTGTACTACTTAAACTAAAGTGGCCCTCCAGTGAGATGACAACGCCAGCAGTGACCTACAGCTCATTTAAGTTTAAGACCCCTGATTTAGACCATTTGTTATCAAACATTTTTTATTGGTGTGCTCCATTTCAAAACTTCTCCCACCACCAAATTTTCATCAGTCATTAAAAAATAAGTCCAACTTCTTTCAAACAACCAACGTCTCATGATAGTGATGTAAAAAATAAAATATAATACAGACTGAGGCAAGTTTATCCAAACAGTCAAAACATCAATTTTTACACTTCTATAAAACATCAGAAATGACAGAAAAATAAAAACTTGTGTGGGAAAAAAGGCATTTGAAAGCACTCTGATATGCTGCTTCCATATTTAAGAGATTACACCTGTGGGAATTTGTACATTAATTCACTGACGCTCTCCTCACAGGTGCTACAAGGATATGCCATTTAAATCATTCTCTGCTGAGCAACGTCTGAAGCATGAAAAAACCTTCCAAAACTGTATACTGCTGTGTATTTTGCCATGAAACATTTAATGAAATAGGTCACCTGCATTTAATGGATGTGTTTTTCTAACGTGTTTATAACATCATTTTTCTATAGAATAACTAATCTTTATAGTGGCAGAGTATGTGACTAACAGATTAGAAGGTAGAAAAAATGTAGAGCGCAGACAGAGTCAGATGCTGACCCGTTATTTTCTCCCTGAAAGCACAGACAGTTTTTATTGAGATACTTAAATGAGTTAATAGCACAGTATTTCTCTCTCTCTCTGCTAATATGAGTGAATGGAGTTCACCCACTAGTCTCTGTTTATCTCACTTTCTCTTATCTGTGTGGCCATAATTATTCTAATAAGACGTCTACATATTGTTTATATATCTATATAATATTTATTTGATTACATTTTGGATTCTGGTGTTTATGTGATTGGATCATCTATATTGGTCTTCACAATCCACAGCAACAATAATAAGGAGAGAGAGGATATTGCTTTCTTTTACACTTGCATGAGTAATACATAGAAGAGGTAGTTTTAAAAACATCAATTCACTAGTTACAAGTCCCAGGTCAAATCACTCTGTTTAAAAGAAAGTGTAACTGTCTGAGTCTCACACTGCCCAGTACCAGGTACGCCAGCTGCTGAAACTGTGGTGAATTGCACCTAAACCTTGTTTAGTTATGGTCACATGACCTGGGCATTTTGAACCACGCTTTGGAGCAGTGTTTGGAAACATCTGCGCTTCAGAAGCTCCATGTGAACACGTGTTTTGAAACTTGCAAACTCGATTTGCACACAGGGGCAACAATCCATTTTTATTTATTTATTTTTATTTATTTATTTTTTTGCTGTGCTGAGTTCTTCAAGCCTCCAAGACTTTCTATGTCAGTGGCTTTCATCATTCCACTTTAATCTAATCCAATAATTTGTGGAGAGCTGCCTCCTCTGAATTCAAGGCGTAATTTCTCTTACCTCCACTTGAAGAGCATAAACTGAGATGGTCTTAACTGGTCCTAGATAAAACAAACCCACAGTTAAACCTTGACCTGATCAAGGCAACGTGTGCTTGTTACTGTGAAGCCATATCAGTTCAACAACCTTTACCGCTTACACAACTGATAACACAAATAACTGGCTCACACCTCTTTACAAGCCCAGACATGATCTCTCCTATTTATCAAAATATGTATCCCTCTTTATTTAAAGTGACATGACAAAACAGGAGCATACTAAACTTAAACTGTTTTGAAAATCAACATAATTCTTTTTTGGATATACATTTTTGTGTGTTTGTCACTTCACAGCTTTAAATCCTGTGGGGTATAAGACACTTAATGTTAAAAAATGTTAAGTATAAAATGAAAGAAAAGAAAAAAACACAACAAAACGTTTCAGTGTGAAGTAATTATAAAAGAATCAGTTCTCCAATTATTGACTAATGTCACAGTCCTGGGTCGATGACCCAGTGTTTTGTGTATTGTTATTGTTATTTTATGATTTCTGTGTGGTTTGTGATTTCTAGTGTTAGTATGGGTTCAGTTCAGTGCCAGCAATAAAGCTGAGGTTCTTTGAATTTAAGTTTACGCCTCCACGAGCCTGCATATTGGGTCTGTTTCCTGACAACTAACTGATGAATCACTGCAGCTCCAATATATTGTTGCATTTGACAACCCACTACAGCAACTACAGAATAAAACCACTAACCAGACTGATGACAGATTTCAAACATGCTGAATATGAAGAGTAGTATCATTTAAACTCACATGATTATCAGCCATAAGAACAAATTCAGATTTATATTGATGTAAGGTATATAAATGTAAGTACAGTTTGAATCAGTGCAATATTATTTTCACACATCAATGGACCACTGAACTTCTCAGCTTCTAAAATGTAGAGCCTCATTTAGAAACTACACAAGTACATATAATGGTCAGGGATCAACATGAACCTGTCTTCTCTATTTGACTTTAATCAACTCTGCAGTGTCTCCATCAAAGGAATAAAGGCGAATTCCAGCATAGAGCGGCTGAGTGAATGTGGTCTGGACTCTGTGGAGGAGAGTCATGGTTTCAGAGACGCTGTAGAAAGACAGAATACCTGCTCTGTGATCCAGGTACACTCCTACTCTGGAGGACCGAGGACCTGAGAGGACAGTTTGGACATTGTTGTGCCAAAATTTATAGCTGTTTGTGTCACAACGTAATGCCCAAGATTTGTCATTCCACCCAAAACCACATTCATAAAACCTCCCTGCTCTTTTGATCTTCTCATATGCAGCGGCTACACGAATTCCTCTCCCTCTCCACTCCACCTCCCAGTAACAACGTCCAGTCAGACTCTCTCTACTCAGGACCTGCCGATAAAAAGTAAATCTGTCTGGATGAACAGAATAAGGCTGTTGTACTTTCATTACTGTTACTTTTCTGTTCTCCTCAGATAATAACAGATATTTATTTGTTGTGTTTGGATCCAGTGTGATTTCACGTGAATATTTTAAGAATCCAGCTCTGGTCTTTGGCTCTGGTGGTGACAGTAAAACATCCTCTTCAGTGACTGTCAGTGAGATGTTTGTCCATTCCTCTCTTGGTGAGGGGTAGTTGTGTAGAAACTGGTTGTGGTCCTCTTTGCTTAAGAGCTGCTCCAGCTCAACATGCATCAGCTGATCAGCAGAGCCATTGATGGCCTCCACCTCCTGTTGAAGCAGCTTCACATCTTTCTCTCGCTCCTGGATTCTCTGCTGGATGTTTAGTCGTCTCACCTCGAGCTCCTTCTGCTTCTCAGTCCTTTCTGCTGCAGCTGGGACTGTTTCATGGCCTTTATGTTCATCCACTGTGCAGAGATAACAGATACTCTGCTGATCAGTACGACAGAAAATCTTCATCACCTCATCATGACGAGAGCAGATGTTCTCCTGGAGCTTCTTGGAGGGGGCCACCAGCTTGTGTTTCTTTAACGGAGCTGCATCATAGTGAGGTTGGAGGTGTTTCTCACAGTAAGAGGCTGGACAAGATAAACAGGATTTGATAGCTTTCAGTTTCCTCCCAGTGCAGAAATCACAGGCCACATCTTCAGGTCCAGCATAGCAGTGATCAGCTGGAGCAGCTTGGAGTCCAGTCTTCTTCAGCTGCTCCACTAAAGCTGCTAACATGATGTTTTTCTCCAGGATAGGCCTTGGTATGAAAGTCTTCCTGCACTGAGGGCAGCTGTGGATTCCCTTCCTGTCCTCTTCATCCCAGAAACTTTTAATACAGTTCCTGCAGTAGCTGTGTCCACAGGCTGTAGTCACCGGATCCTTCAGTAGATCCAAACAGATGCAACAAGAGAAGGTTTCTGAATTCAGCTCATTTCTTCTGTGCGCCATTTCTCCTTTCTGTAGCAGCTGCAATGTTTGTACTTTGAACTGTAGTGATTAGACTATTGCCTGAACTGAAAGTGCCAATGGTGAATGTGTGTTGAGAGAAGGGAGTGGTTATCAGTCTTAGTCATACATTCGGTAGTTTGGCAGCATTCATATCTTTATTGACAGAGTTATGGACAAATTGAATTGTGTTTGCATGTTCAGTACTGCTTTGAAACAGTTCAGTTACAGAAAACAGGAAAACAAATCCTGATTGTAAGTTTCTGAATTTAGGAAGCAACACCTATTTGTAAATGTAATGTTACCCCTCTGATAGGGAAGTAACCTGAGGTAGAACGTGAGGTTGAGAAAACCTCTTCGTGTAATTGGGCTAGTCTAGAACTAGAACCAGTCTGCTGGAGAGGCAATGGACTCTGTTTCAGCCTAGAGTTGCCCTTGGTTAGAGGCAGTGGATATCCTAGTATCTCCTCAGCTTGCTGCCTGTACATTGGGGTTTTACTGGTGGACAAGAAGTTTTCTTCCCTGTGCCTTAAAGTGGGATAATGAGTCTTGTGTGTTTTTGCATTTACACACCAAAATGTGTAGTAAGTTCAGAGTACCCAGCCTTCCTGGAATCACTTGGTGGGATGATTCCTTTGTGCCTGATTACCATTGATCTTCTTTCCGTAATCACTTGAATCTTTCCGGTCAATAGCAGCTGGTAGTGGCTTGGCAGTGCGTGAGAAGTTTGCAATGTAGGGGCGGGAGTATGACAGGAAACCTAGCATTTTCCTTAGGTCTCCCACAGTCTCAGGTTTGCATTTTTTAGTCCTTGCACTGGTGCCAATTCAGCAGGGTCCATGCAGCCATCTTTGGATACAATCTTTCCCAGGAATTTCACCTTGTCCTTGAACACTTCACACTTTTTGGGGGTCAGCTTCACCCCGTGCGCTTGATAATGGCGCAGGACCTCCCTCAGATCACGCAGGTGGTCCTGAAATGACCTACTGTGGACCAAATTGTCATCCAGATATGGCTGAGATATTTCATCCCTCAAGCCTGCAAGGCACTCTTCCATAACTGCGCTGGAACTCCCGGTAATCAGCGCAGAGACGCAAACTTCCATCCTTTTTGCGCACCCAGACGATGAGTGATGAGTAGGGGGATCGGGATTTCTGAATCCATCCTCTGTTCAACAGGTCCTCCAAATACTCCTTCACCTCCTTATGGAGTGGCTTGGGAACTGAGATGTATGTGCAGCTTACTGGGGTTGTGTCATTCAATCTGATCTTTAACTTCAGGGAGGGGATGCATCACACATCGCTCTTATCTTTTGAAAATGCAACACACTCTTCACGTAGCACCTTTTTCACCTGCTCCTGCTGATCTGGGGTCAGGTAATCAACTGACACAGGTGGGTCCCATAAATCTTGGCTGCAACTGCCCACCTCCTTATACTCCCCTTTGTGCCGTTCTGGGGCGCTGGGGTGCTCCCTGTGTTTTCACTAGCACATGTCAACTTGCCCTTGTTTTCAGCACTTACTGGTCTTACGTCTACTGGGTAAATAGCCTTCACTTGCTGTAGTCGTCCCAACACTACATGAGGGAGGAGGGGGATGTCATGGCTGCTGCCATTTGTGACCAGAATAACCACCCTGGACAGGGTTCCCCTCTGCAGGCCAATGACAGTATCATTCAGGTTAACCCCCTCTGGTAGTTTTGAAATGTCCTCTGGTTTGAAAAGAACCTCCTGTGTCAGGGGGAGGGGACCTGTCCTCACACTGCACTTAACCTCCCTGCTTTGTCCAGCTGGAATCACTATCTTTTGTCTCCCGACTTTCACCACACCCTCTTCATCATTTTTGTGGCAGCGCTGCATGATGTTGATTAGCACTTCTGCTTTCTTACAATCAATCGAGAAGGTTTCCTTTATCACAGCAGGTGTAACATCTGGATGATGCTCCATTCCATCCTTTACAAAATGCTCAATCACATTATAGCCAATGATAGGTGGCTCTGCTACTCCTGGCTCTTTTGAGTCAAGCACGGGGACAACTAACTCTGGCTGCGGATCTCTAGTTGACCCCAGCCTAAATTTGAGCTCAACCCAAACTGCAAAGGGTATGGGTGTTTGGTTCGCTGCTTTACCCACTAGAGCCTCATCCTCAACTAGGAGTTCACTTGTGCTTCTCAGTTGGATATGTGGAAAGCAAGACTTCCTCCCGTTCTCATTAATGATAGTCACCTGTGACCCTGTATCCCACAATGCTTGTGTTTCTACCCCTTCAAAGAAACAATCCACCATACACTTCCAGGGCTCTCAGCTTAGCCTGACAGTGTAGTGAGAGATGACTGGCATACGTGGCACCCAGTTTCTTTAGCCTTGCCACTTTGCTCTAATTCTGCCTCCAGCTGTCTTATTTGATTCCAAAGCAGTTCATGCAACTTGTCATCTGCTTCTGTGTGGATGGGAATTAATGATTTGGGAGGGGCAATGGTCTGGATTGCCGCTTGAGTGCCCTCCGATCTTTCTGCTGCCCAACTTCCTGGCTGGCCACACATGAAGCAGTGTTCACACCGATCATCTGTTCCCTGCTCCTGGCATGCCTTACATCCCCTCCTCCCACTGGTTCTTCGTGGGCGAGTGGGGCCTTGAGGGGTGGTGATGCTCCTCCTTAATTCAGCCATATGCTCTCTCAGCAGCCTGACTGTTTCATGCAGCTCTGACTCTCAGGAAGCAGCTACAACAGGTGTTCTGCGGCTCTTGGGTTTCACTACTTCCGCTCTTGAGTCCCCAACCTAGTTTCAGCCACACCCAGACCCAATTGACTGGCTTGCCTTTCCGTCTGGAGTTCATTTACATTTACAGATTTGCTGCCTGTAGTTTTCTTTTGCTTCAATTGCCTTTCTGATTCAACACCAGCTGCTTCATTCATCTTATCAATGAGGGTTTCATCTGTCACCCGCGGGTCATCAAGATAGGGCTTAAGCCGAAACTTGATAAGGTCCCTCAGTAGCCCAGTACTAACCGACCTCAAGAATTTCTTCTGGATGAGCTCAGGGCTGTATTGTTCATCGGACCCTGTGTCTTCCAATGCGAGCAGCAGCCTCTCTTTTAACTCAGTTGCTCTGAAGAGGAAGTTTTGGGGAGACTCACGGCTGTCTTGTGTGACGTTCACTAGTCTGTGATACAAATCTGTGGTGCTGTCTTCTTTAAAATGCCCCTCTAATATGGCCTTCAATTGGGGGAGGGTGAGATCACGTTTTATCTCAAGCATGGCTCTAAGACTCAAACCTGGGCTGACAGACTTCACCACAGCTTCTATAACCTCCGCTTCACTGTTTCCGTTGTTCAGACCTCGATCAATCTGATGCATCAAGTTGATGTATGAGAGTCTGTCCTTTTGGCCCTTCTCCCCAATTTGACCACAGATCTTGAATTCCCTCCTTATCGTCACTTCCGAAAGGTTGTTGGCTGCGACAGGCAGCACATTTTGTGGGGTGGTCGGCAGACTTAGTGGTGTCCTCTCCACCCTTTCACTCAGCCTCCTAATTTCTTCCTGCAGTGCTTCGCTGTTTCTCTGGAGCTGTGCGTATCTTTATATTAAATCAATTTATTCCCTTGTTTCCTGAGTTCCCTGTGGCGAGCCTGTTGTAATTCCTACACTTTCTGTGTTTCAGGTGCTCTCTGTCGCTGGGTTGACACTTTCTAACAATTTCTTTAGATAGTAGAGTGCAACATCCTGTTTTTCATCATTAATAGCCTTGTCCATAGATTCTGTGATTAATTTTATTAAAGTTCATCTTGTTGTGACATTTCCACTAGGGATTTTAGCTTCAGCACACACCCCTTTGAGTTGGTCGAGTTGTAGGTTCCAGAGTGTTTGGGACACAGTGTCTGCCAGCTCCTCTAGGTCCATCATGGTTGCTGTAGCCACGTCCCTTCCTTATTTCATCACGCTGGACACAACGTTAATAATCCCAGCGGTGCCTCCAATATTTGTTGCACACAGTTAGCATATAGTTAGAGATGGATCAGGTGACCCTAAATCATACCTTAGTTAGACTGTGGTGTCTGGTGCATTGTTACGAGCCATTCAGCTCTTGTACAACAATTCCCAATGAGTGTTAGATTCCATCAGTGCTGCGATTTGTTACCAATTCTGTTCATTGTTTTTATAGACACAATATCT